CAAAATTGTACAGTACATCTACTTGATGTACTATTTATTTTTAATGCTTTAAGGAAATAATCATGAGTAAAATATTATTAATTTATTCAGGATGCAATATGAATTATGCAGCATAGAATCTTACAAATTGACACTTACAAAATAGTTACATTGTCATGCAGCACAATACACCACACCACGGCACACGTGCTGCTAAAAGCCGGTAAGCTGGTCTCGTTTGCTGTCTTTCCTAGATGTTTGCTGATCTGCTGTTTTGCCTATCAGCTGCTGATCTGCTGCCCGGCCATGATCTGCTTTATGATGCAAACAAAATAAGACTGCACAAGCACGTCGCATGCGGCACAACAACAAAAACCCACAACAGACAGTGCTTTACAACCAACTAACAAACAAGACGTGACGCACTGCAAAATTGTACAATGAAGTACATAGGGCAACGTCAACAAGGAAATGCACAGCACAGACAAGGGATGCGTTTAACTAGCGCGTGACTCACCGGAGGTACGACAAACCGTGACGCGGAAACGCCGAAAGCTTACGGCAAAGCGACCGACGGCGAGGCGGCCGATGGCGAGGCGGCCGACGGCGAGGCGGCCGACGGCGAGCGGCCGACGGCGAGGCGGCCGACGGCGAGGCGGCCGACGGCGAGGCGGCCGACGGCGAGGCGGCCGACGGCGAAGCGGCCGACGGCGAGGCGGCCGACGGCGAGGCGGCCGACGGCGAGACGCTGACGTAAGTCCTCGCCCAGGCTCGCTCAGACCGGCGGGGGGATCGGGCGGGAGGTGGGCGGGGAAATACACACACACACGCTGTTATTCAGCTAGCAGGGGACGCAACGAGCACAGACTTTGCACGGTAAAACAACATGAGCAGCTGCGCACAAAATGCAGAAACATACTAATAAGCACACAGGCGGATCGCGGGAAGTTTCAAATTCTCCATCACAATTAAAACAGTAGCATCCCCACACATACCCCCCCCCCACACACACACACGCACACACACACACACGCACACACACGCACACACACACGCACACAATGATCCCGCTGGGGACGACACGCCGACGTCGGAAGCATCACGTAACGATAATACATTATACAAAACTTTACTTAAATGTATATTGCGTATAAACAACAAAATTGTACAGTACATCTACTTGATGTACTATTTATTTTTAATGCTTTAAGGAAATAATCATGAGTAAAATATTATTAATTTATTCAGGATGCAATATGAATTATGCAGCATAGAATCTTACAAATTGACACTTACAAAATAGTTACATTGTCATGCAGCACAATACACCACACCACGGCACACGTGCTGCTAAAAGCCGGTAAGCTGGTCTCGTTTGCTGTCTTTCCTAGATGTTTGCTGATCTGCTGTTTTGCCTATCAGCTGCTGATCTGCTGCCCGGCCATGATCTGCTTTATGATGCAAACAAAATAAGACTGCACAAGCACGTCGCATGCGGCACAACAACAAAAACCCACAACAGACAGTGCTTTACAACCAACTAACAAACAAGACGTGACGCACTGCAAAATTGTACAATGAAGTACATAGGGCAACGTCAACAAGGAAATGCACAGCACAGACAAGGGATGCGTTTAACTAGCGCGTGACTCACCGGAGGTACGACAAACCGTGACGCGGAAACGCCGAAAGCTTACGGCAAAGCGACCGACGGCGAGGCGGCCGATGGCGAGGCGGCCGACGGCGAGGCGGCCGACGGCGAGCGGCCGACGGCGAGGCGGCCGACGGCGAGGTGGCCGACGGCGAGATGGCCGACGGCGAGGCGCCCGACGGCAAAGCGGCCGACGGCGAGGCGGCCGAC